ACGACCAATCACTGTAACGAAAAAACTTACTCTAATAAAAGCACAAAATAGAGAAGTGTGATGTACTGAGACGTTTCGAATTCGCTTAGTCTATCTTTTTATACTTTTGAGCGTCAACCATATTGAAAATTTAATTTTTAAAATTCTATTTTTTTAGATGTTGTGCATGTCTAAACTCTCTTTAATGAAAGAAAATGACTGGTGCTTTCAGTGTTGTATAAAAAAATTATTCCGCAATCCTTGCGCAAATATTCTAATTTCGATGGAATTTACCTAAATCAAAGATGTAATTCGTCAAACAATCAAAATCAAGAAGACTAAAGATAGGAGTGATAACTACAAGGCTAGCTTAACCGAGCGGCATGGCCTAGAGGTCTAGACCATTGCTTAGCATTCGGGAGGACGCCGGTTCGATTCCGGGTCCGTCTGCCTTGGTCCAAGTTTTTCTNAGGCAAAAAGAAAATGAATTTGCTATTCTCCTAGCGAGATCAATATCAATTTAATTACCTATTAAATTGGTAATGCCGGATTATAAAGATGGCGGCTTTAATTAACTTTTTTTTAATTCTGTTATAGCTATAGAATAAGCAAAGTAAATGAAGAAAAAACTAAGTAGGTATACATAATACATTTAGTTTAAAAAACACAATTTTTAATGCCTGGATACTGTAGAGATATTAACTGTAAGAGTATCGAAAGAAAAAATGATAGACTTCGATTCAATAAGTAGTTGCATTGTGCCAAAACAATTATTAACTATCAAACTGGAGATTTATTCACTGTCACGGCAAGCGGGTCGCACTCGATAAGTCTACTAAAATCATCTGTCCTTTATACTTATACATAGATATATATCACAATTTGTAAGAAAATTGAATTCTTTCAAATACAGTGTAACCCAGAGTAAAAATTATTCTTTTCAATTTTACTCTACCGAATTACGACCAAACTAGCTGCATAAATTTCTCTAAAATATTACCGGAAAAGGTCCGTTTGCAGGACTAAACCGCCGATTGTGTACGAATGGAATGCTGAAACACTACCGCATTTAGTAGTTACGAAATGAACACGGATACAGCAACGATTGCTTTCCAGAAAGCTACTGAAATGCCACCGAAAGAGCAACGCATTTATACTAAAAAAGCGCCGAAACAGCACTAAACGGATACTAAAATTTTTGATTTTGTATGTGATACTGTTTAGGTGCTATTATAGCATGTTTTTTGGCAAGACGTTGTTTGCGGGCTCTTTCGGATCTTTTTTAATGTGGTGCTAGTTTACAGCTGTTGTAGAGTTTCAAAAGGAGGTGTTTTGGGAATTTAAATTTTCGTATAATACCGTAAGAACTATTTCGGTGCTAATTTAGATCATTTCATATATTTGGAGGCGATTCGGTGGTGTTACAATTCTTTTTATTTTTACTCGGGACCTCCTGTAGAAATTGCTTAAGTTTAGTTGATTTACTTCATAGTAATTATCTATTTGTAATGAAACGACCAATCACTGTAACGAAAAAACTTACTCTAATAAAAGCGCAAAATAGAGAAGTGTGATGTACTGAGACGTTTCGAATTCGCTTAGTCTATCTTTTTATACTTTTGAGCGTCAACCATATTGAAAATTTAATTTTTAAAATTCTATTTTTTTAGATGTTGTGCATGTCTAAACTCTCTAATGAAAGAAAATGACTGGTGCTTTCAGTGTTGTATAAAAAAATTATTCCGCAATCCTTGCGCAAATATTCTAATTTCGATGGAATTTACCTAAATCAAAGATGTAATTCGTCAAACAATCAAAATCAAGAAGACTAAAGATAGGAGTGATAACTACAAGGCTAGCTTAACCGAGCGGCATGGCCTAGAGGTCTAGACCATTGCTTAGCATTCGGGAGGACGCCGGTTCGATTCCGGGTCCGTCTGCCTTGGTTCAAGTTTTTCTGTGGTTTCCTTGGATCACTTAGGCAAATGCTGAGGCAGTAATTTTCCACAGATAATCTGTCTTCATTTCGTCCGTCTCATCTTTCTCACCCGAACCACCACCCACCCATTCCCACGATTCCTGAAAGCAGGCTGAAGAGGGCCTTCCGGCCTACCTTCCGGCATAGTCCGGAGGGACTGCCCGCCCACCAGCATTACTGGCTGGTGGGAATGAAACACCCAAAAGTTTAAAGTTTAAGGCTAGCTTAAAATGTGTGTCGCGAGAGGCGTAAGAGCGCCACCATATCGTATGCGGCCGTTCGTTGCGTATGAAGGTAGTGCGCATCCTACTTACGCGTATGCAAGATTTTACCGAAATTGATGCGCAGTCGGTCATCGCGCAACGGACGATTGTGTTTTCTATCCTTTATTAGTGATGATGCTTTTTAGATCCATTCCTAATTACTGGCGTGTAATCGCACCATACTAACTAATTTATTTAACAATCTCGGGACAACAGAGACTCGACTTGCTCCAGAAGGATTCCAGAATGTGACATGCAGAGAATCTGACCTTCTTTGTTACTAGCGAGATCAAGGCAACCCACTAAAGACCTCATGCTTTTTGGAGAGTTGCCTACACTTGACATTATCTTAGACTGCTTGATTAAAATAAATATGAACTTTCAACATAGTGGCTAAAGTACGTCGTACGTTGCAGCTTTTTATATAAAGGGTAATAAAACTTAGGTCAAACCTAACTTTCTGCATGCTGTATAACAAACCTACGTTCACCCTTTTTTGCCCATTGTACTATGAGACAGTACTAAAGATAGAATACATATCGTATGTCGTTGAACAATTATTGGTTCACACGCAAACTTTCAATAATACAGATGGTGTTATAATGGATTTTTGTTACGTTTAACTAAAATTTCGATTTTCCCTGTTGTTTCAGTTTCGAGGTTGATGGGAAGTACGGCAGCGTCGGCGAACATGGGTCATCCGGGCCTTAACACGGCCGGAATGCCCGGTCTCGGCGCATGTGCAATGCCAGATTCAAAACCCATGCAATTTCCCCTAGCACAGCGACGAAAGAGGCGGGTCCTTTTCACGCAAGCACAGGTATGTTGTTACGCCACGCCAACCTTCATCTTCTTCCTTCTTCCTTCGTCTCTAGCTTTCACCATATTCCATATCCATAATAAAGCGTAAGCTCGGAAAGCTCCGCGGCCAACCCCTCCCCACCACTACCGCCGCTACGTCACCTTCGCTTCCGGGCCCGTTTATCGCTGAGTTTTGACCGACGGCGACTGACGCGACATCAGATATGCGTGCTCGCGTTTTTCACCAATAATTATTAACTAAATTAGCAAATAAACACGCACGATTTTTTCTATCGGGAAATGATCAAATTTTATTTGCTAAAATTTGTTTTGTGGTGGTGACCAAGTGGTGAAAAATGTAGAAAAGTGTGGCAATTTGGTTGGTCATAGTATAGGAAGCTCTTTCAGCACTATTTTACACATAGGTATAATTTGTTGCTTTTTTTGATTTGCAAAATCGTTGTAAGTAATTACCTCTTAGATTAATAGTGTTCTCAGTCCTGGTAGTTTTAAAATTGCAAATATTGTAGTAACACTCGTCGAAAAATTTAAAATGATTAAATAATGTCTTTCTAATATAAAAAATAAGTTGAGACTTCAACAGTGGATGCCTATTTTTGTACTTATCAATTACTGGCCAAATACCAATTTTATGAGTTAATTAATAATAAGGGCATTTTTACGGTGAGATTGTGTTCAATTATAATATTAATAAAAACTTTATTTTCATAGTTATACTTATTAAAAAGTTATCAATTTTGTTTTGTTTTTCGGTTACAGGTTTATGAACTCGAGAGGAGGTTCAAGCAACAAAAGTACCTTTCAGCACCTGAGAGGGAGCATTTGGCATCTCTGATTCATCTTACACCGACACAGGTAAGGATGTTTAATTTAATTTAAAAAATTCTTAAGTTATTTATGAGATAGTAACATTCGGTCATTATTTATTTATACCTCGATGTGCTAATATAAATGTTAGTTAATATCTCAAAACTCGGTCACGTGTGAGTTTCATTTGTGAGTCTCGAAAGATTTCGTGTTATTTCTTCCTTTAATGAATTTTATGGAAATTATAATAAAATTGCAATAAATACATTTTTGTCTTTCATATAGTGTTTCGAAAATAAGAATGAGAGTAATCTATCTACACGGAGAGAAAAATCTTAGAAAAATTGCCATGTATGTTGCTATAAATAAGACGAAATTCAGGATGTTTCTCTCTGAAAAATTTGCTTAAAAACGTGCAAAAGAAAGCGAGAGAGAAAGTATTACCGGTAAAGGATTCAGACATGTTCGAACTACACTAACATTTTCATTTTGGTAGAACGTAAGCTTTCACGGTTGATATTATCTAAAGAAAAGCTGGTGCGTTTCCACATCGTCACGCAGTACTAGTGATGGGTCGTAACATGTTTTCGGCGTAACGTAACGTAACTAGTTTCTTGAGAAAACGTAACCTGTTTCATAACTACGTATTTTTGTAACTAGTTACATTTATAGATTTGTACTATAGTGTAACTTGGAAACTGTTAAATTGTCCTATATCTTTCCTCACTGTCGTATCTTTACAATACAGGTCATTTCACGATGGTACGGTCACAATTCCTAGAAAGTAGGTTTATGGCATTACTTAGCAAACAAACCCATGTATTTACCATCGACGATTTGATATTTTACACTTTTACAGAAAGATATTTTTGCATTTGGTAACTGTTGTATAAATCTAAGTTAAAAATAAACATCGTACCCTCGGAAAATTATCTCCTAGAAAGCTTCAACAACTTTGCTACACAATTACAAAAATTTTAAATATTGTAATAGTTGTTTGCTACTAAGTTCTTCTCAAGATCTGATCTGGAATTCATAGACTTTCTTTCATGACTAAAAATATAAGAGGCCACAATAAATAATCTTTTAAAATAGTTTTTCTCTGTATGTATGATTTTGATCTGTTCAAATATTATTTACTCAAAATCATAACTCCGAAGAACGAAGACGGAGATATGACAAAAGAAATACGTGTCCTTCGAATAACAAAATAGGTATAATACCAGGCATCACGTTATTGTTACCCATGGGTACCTACTTTAACGTACAGTAAGCTATTTACAACGTTAAAACCGAAGATACTAAACTGCTTACTCAAAGTAACCGATATTGAAAATAACTTTAACCGTAACCGCTTGTCGTACACAGTCGAAACAGGTTATACGATTATTTAGCTAGTACGCAGTTTCGGAAACTACTTACGTTACATAACGCTCACCCCTACGCAGTACATTAAAAATGTACTTATCCCACAGTCGGCGACGAAATATCTACGAAATATGAGTTCTACCGTCGATAACAGTCAACCAGTCGGGCAAATATCAATTCTTCATTGGATTCTCATTTGAAATTTAAGTTCATTGGTTTACTGAAAACCACCACCAGACACAGATCAATAAATTAATGACCAAACCGAAAAACTTCCTAATTTTTCCTGTTTTGGATTTTGGATACTGCACATTCTCATTTTTGTGAAGTTCTGTTGTTTTTGGGGTTCCGTACGTCCGAATGAAAAAAACGGAACCCTTATAAGGTCACTCGTGTGTCTGTCTGTCCGTCTGTACTGGACCGATTAGTTGAAATTTAATACATATATAAACTTCTGTAATCCTAACGCGGACGCATAACGTAAATAAATTAATTTTGAACAGGGGGGTAATTTGGGGAGGACAATAGAAAATTTAAAAAAAAAGTTTTGCAAACTATACCGAGTGACACATCAAATTAAGGGCTCGTTGCAAGGGTCTCGAATATGTTTTTTATAGTTTTAAACTAAATAGTTTTAAAATTATTTAAGGAAATAGATGAAAATTGACCATTTCTCCTCCTTTTCTCCGAAACTACAGAACCTAAAATTTGGAAAAAAATGCAGAGTAGTTCTTTATTTATAGATTACAGGAAAATTAATAATCAATCTATGGTCTGAACATAACGTGATAAACCTTTCAACAAAACAATATTGTCAGTACCAATTTACAATTGCAATTTGAATGTATGGGAGTTAGGGTTCCATATGCTCGAATGAAAAATGGAACCCTTATAGGATCACTCGTGTGCCTGTCTGTCCGTTTTTTATACCTATTCTGTACACCTAATAACAAAAGAAAATGTTCGGTTCCTGGAGTTCCGTCACGGAGAGTTTACGTTGTACCTACATTAAAATACGGGAAGCTTTATTTCGCCAGTAAATAAACCCCAAATATAGGTACATTTTTACGCAATAAAAATTGCAGATGTAATCAACTGCAAAACATCTGCTTGCATCCCCTTTTTCTGTTATTCTGCCCCCTCATCAGCTTGTGGCATCATCACCATTTTGTTTCTGCACGATTAATTCCTGACAAAAACCGATGCGCCCGTCGACCCTACCGCAAATTAAAACGTAACAATTTAACAATACCAAAGTATATACATGTGATGCTTATATATGTGTATATAAAACTGTTGTTTTGAATGCATCACTACCATCTGCGAGTTCCCTGTCAGCATGCAATAGTAGGTAAAATATCTAAATCGTCTCGTTTTACTTTTAAAAACCCTCTCTCTGGATATTGCAGTGAACCAAAATGGCGACTCGTTATAAAATGTTCTAATGAACCCTACGCATACAACTGCCCCATAAAAATTTTAAGAAGTTGAATTAAAGTCGATATATGAATATTGATGTCTAATCAACGGTTTAATTTCAGTACTTTCTGAGTTTTTGTGAATCTACTTCTGCATGTTAACTTTCTTCTACGAATCACGACGACAGATTACACATTTATACTGCTATGACAGTTTGTTTCATAATTTTCTCAAATAAACAGGGACAAAATGTTTCTTAGGAAATATAAAAAACAATGAGTTGCCAGAAACATATTATGTTTTCATATATTTTGGGACTTTGACCTACTTTACGACGAAACCTTAAAAGCAGAAATAAAAAGTATGACAGCGATACCTCACTTTGATGGAACCCTTTTGTAATGCAACTAAAAATACTACATTCAAACCTTTATTTGACGTAGACGGTATAAGTAACATAAATACTTGCTGAGTTAATCAACTAAGGTTCCGTTTTACCTTTTTCTGGTTTGCAGAACTCTAAAAGCAGATCTTTGCTTATTTAATGATTGGTGGGTTGTATGTGGGGCGCAATCCCCCTTTTATTATTATTGGAAGCTTTATCAGGTTATGCGTTGGTCTATAGCGAGCAAACTGCCAATATAATACAAAATGCACCCTCTCTTTCAATTTGCCCATTCACTAATTCGTTCGTACATCGCGCGAAGAGCGAGTTTCCCGATGTAGAGGAAGGTATAGTAGAGTAACAGCCAGCCAGTTAGTGGAAAGTGAATTATCGAAAAGTTTGTTGTGTGCGCGCGTACGGAGAAAAAGAGAACGGCGACGATGGCGAACTATCGTATCTTTACAATACAGGTCATTTCACGATGGTACGGTCACAATTCCTAGAAAGTAGGTTTATGGCGTTAAATAGCAAACAAACCCATGTATTTACCATCGACGATTTGATATTTTACACTTTTACAGAAAGATATTTTTGCATTTGGTAACTGTTGTATAAATCTA